ATATGTATAGTTCATGGTTTTTCCAAAAAATGGCTCCGAAATCACCCCAAATTTTTATTACATTTTCTGATACATATTGATGCCCTTATGCTGTGTAGAAAGTTTGAGTTGATTCCGACTTCAATTTTTTGAGTTACGGCCATTTTAAGAAAATGCCAAAATTCTGAAAAATACCCAAGGCTATAGCCTATGGTTTTTTTCCGAAAAATGACTCTGAAATCACCCCAAGTTTTTATTACATTTTCTGATACATATTGATGTACTTATGCTGTGTAGAAAATTTGAGCTGATTCCGACTTAAATTTTTCGAGTTATGACTGTAGTGAGCTGACTCATTATTAGATCAGGACTCATGAATTATTCATTGATATATTGTTTATATAAATGCATGTTGTCTTAATAATTTCCAGTGTTTGGGTGTCAACTAAACGAGACTTAATATGAGCACTAACACTCACTCTCACTACCAGACTGGCATCGTAGCATCTCATATTTCTGCATGACCATTTTGAAAGACTGAAACTATGATCTTAAACTCAAAGTGTATATATTATTATTATTTCATGTCTGTCTTTATTCACTGCAATTGAGTATACCATTAACACATTGTCCACCTTTTAATGTCTTCCTTCCTTCCTTCCTCTCCAGCCAATCTATTGCACTGCCACCTGATGCTTACAATAGAGAGAGAGTGACTGACAGATCAAGTGATATTGAAGATGATGACTCATTTAGGTAATGATGACAAGGCAATGAGGAGAGAGAGAGAGAGGGAGAGTGGGTTGAGATAGATAGAGATAGCAATTAATAGTAAATAAAGGAATGAGATGGGCTCAATATAATTTTGTGGTTATGTCAGCAAAATGATATCCAAAGCTTTGACAGCTAGGCCTGGTTTGTATACATGCATTATTAGCATTGACTAGCTGCATGTGGTTCAAGTTTCTGTCAGCCATTTTGTCTGCATAATCACCATTTATAGATGTCTTGTGCAAATACATATATGTACATGGTAAATGACTATAATAATGACTGCATGGTTGTTATATTGAGGTTTGAGGTCAGAGTAGGAAGTGAGCCACAAGGCAGGATAAATACTATATTTTTTAATTTTGTTCTTTTTTACACTGGTACAGTGATAAATTCAAAAGAGTGTTTGCCAAGACCTATAAATGGTCACCAACTCGAGACACTGAAGTGAGGGAGAAGGTGGAGGATGAACTGTTTGAATTATGAAAGAACTGATGGTGATGGTCTCTGTGTGTTTGTATTAATTATTATCTATTTATGAGTGAAATTCAATCTCTTACCCTCTCCCTCTCTCTCTCTTTTGACTCATTGTTCCTACAATTAATGTATTTCTTTTGTAATATAATTAATATAAGAATGACAGCTACTCTTTAAAAATTAGATTGCTAGAAAAACTACACAAAATTGAATAAAGTGTATTTACTGTACATGCATGTAGCCAACTCTTATAACATGTTGTCAAGTAAATTTGGTGGGATTGCAATACAAAAATAAAAAACA